TTATGACAGTCACAGAGGGAAGCCACCCACGTGAGCGACTTATTGTTGCCTTCTGAGGTTTCAAAGAAATGGTCATTGTTCCTGGTCCCTCTCTGGATTCTTCCAGATGTCCCCAGAGCCTCGAAATACAAGGCTGATTTTGAACTTGTTTATTTATTTATTTGGTGGGGGTAAAATTTCTCACTCAAACCCAGTTTATGGGAGACTGTGAGAGCGAAGCCAGCATGTTCATTTGGCCCTGACTTCCTATATTGTGATATGCACTCACGTGTGCTTGCCGTGGGGGCACCTCTGCCTGCAGGCTGAGCTCAATCCCACTCTGGGAGAATAAGCGCTCTCCATACTCACACACCATTGTGTTGCCTGGGCTCCCACTTTCACAAGTGAGGGCAACCCCAGGACTGTCCCCACAGGCTCACAGGTCTGCAGGAGGCAGGTACAGGTTCTCCACAGCAACACTGCTTATGACAGCCACAGAAGGAAGCCATCCAAGTGTGCAATGGGTTAAGCCAACCAAGAGCCACCTCAACCTCAGACCCCTAAAGTCATGGTAAGACTCAGAGGTCCTGGCCATGGGTAAGACTCACTGCTCAGCGGAAAGAAATAGGCAGAAAAGAATTTATGGGAAAAGTTACCACAGAAAAAGAAATATAAAACTATATTAACTAGTTACTTGCTTGTGTAACATATTATTATTAATTTTAATTATTTTATTTATTGTTATGTTATTATATAATTATTTAATAACTAATTAGTAGCTAATATTAATATATGAACTATTTAAAGAAACCCTGGGAAGATCCCCACATGACAGTGGTGTCAGTTATATGAAAACGTGCGGCGGGATGAGAGTGACACTCACTGCTCCATTGCATCTCTGGGTACCCGAAACACATCTGTGACTCAGTGACCAAGGGAATCAAGTCCAGCCAAAGACATGCAGCGGCGATCAGACTCCACTGGCCTGAATATTGATGTCTGGCAATGAGGTTTGGTCGTTTGTAGACTTTTCTCCCCCAGCAAGCATTGCTATTTCCCTTCCAGGGGACTCATCCACTAACTTCTGCCACTCAAGTCTCAGCCACTGTGGGGAATGATGAGGGGAGGAAGTGGGTGGGATGGAGGTGGCCTTTAGAAGGCTCACTGACTCGAGCTGTGTGGCTGTAAGCACAGACCCATCAATGGAGGTCACTGGCCTTGACGGCACCCCACCCCACATTCATCTAAAGCCTCTCCTGAATAATACTGGTTGCTGAGATGGTGGTCCCCTTACTTTGCTCAGGCTAGTCTCAAATGCCAGGGCTTCAGGTCACCCTTTCACCTTAGTCTTCTTGTATCTGGCTTCAAAGGGACTTTAAATGTTAAATTGAGTTCTTATACACACTCACAAGGGACTGATAGTTTTCATAACGTCTGTTTGAAACAGTTGTAAACCTACAAACTGTCCCCAGATTGCTACTGCAGCATTTGCAAAGTGAGGCAGAAGCCGAGTCTCACAGAGAACTAGGTGGCCCTAGGTCGGTAACCCTGCCTTGTACTGTAGTCACGTGCCTTAAATCAGTACAGAAAAATGTATCCAGTGCTTGGGCAGACTGCTTCAATAATGGTGGCTTATTCAGAAATGCGAGGTGTGTGAAAAGTGCCTATGTCTCTGTAGGGCCCCTCTGGAGTTCAGCTCTGTACAGGTGCCGCTCTGTAGCTGTGAGAGCATCACTCCAGTGGGTACGAGCACAGAACAGTTACCCACCGGTGGCATTCTCCTGAACTGAGGGACCTAGCTCTATAGTCCATGGTTCTAGAATATTCCAACTAAACCACTATTGCTCAACCACAGGAACTTTCAAAGGTTGGTAGCCTTTCCTCAAGTTTCACCCCGAGTTTATGATTAGAACGAGGGGGAAATGAACATTTTATATTTAACCCTCATGAAATCCCCAAATACATCTCCCCCGCTCTGACAGAAATACCTCCCAACGTTTCTGCAGAACTTCTGCTTCCATATCCCCAGGGCACCGGCAGTAGAGACCGTTAATACCTGGTGGCCAGTCTCGGTCGACTGAAGTGGCTTCCCTGTTTATGAAGAAGCACAAAAAGCCAGTTCCCATTTTCACACTACAGTTAAGCCACCAGGTGTACAAGTTAGAGATGACACTAAGTTCCTCTTTCAGGAGATGTCACTATCCTCCTGACCCTTCAATACCATTGCAGACACCCTGACCCACACTGGCGCCCCCCCCCCCCGGAGCTGGCTCCTCATCTGTACCCCAGTCACATTCCTTCTTTCTCCAAAGGAACCATCCACTCTGACATCAGGACACACATTACAGCTCACTGTGTTTGGATGGATTTAAGCAGCACTTCAGTAGAGTGAGGGGAGAACCAGGGCCGGGGGTGAGGCTTGGCTATCCCACCAAGGGCAAGTTCTTTTCCCCCAAAGTGGTTAGACAATCCCAGAGACTCTGTAGGGCTCACAGTGTGAGTTAATCCAGGCTCATGTTTTAATTTATGTAGTGAAGGAAACTGGGGTGGGGGGTGGGGGGCTGGAAATACATCCTAAGAGGCCAATGGTGCTCCATCTCAGGGTGCAATCTCCTGAGCAGCACCAATGGCATCCCTAACCCTTGTTGAACTGCATTCTGGGACAGCAGCACCCCGTCAGACTGGGTACATGGAGGCCAAAGATGGTGTTGCCACAGAAAGTCTCTGAAGGGAATGGGATGTGGGTAAGGAATGGGGCAAAGGCACAGCTCATCCCCAGCAGGGCCACACCCAGTGGACAGGGCACACTTCTAGGCCCCATCAAAGAAAAGGGCCCTTGCCTAGGTACTGGGGCTGTTTGGTGTCTGTTCCCAGGCTTCAGCCCAGGCTGTCTTGATGTCTCAGTGACCTGACACCAAGTGGTCCACGGCCTTGACCCAGGCGGCCACAGTGGGAATGGAGCAGGGGTGCAGGCAGGGAGCCTTGGGCCCTGGAGAAGCCTTACTCCTCTTACTCCTCGTTGGCCTCACCCTCCTCTAGAGCCCTGGAAAGTCATGCTCCAGGTTCTAGAACTTCCAGGTGTCAGATTGGAACCCCAAGGCCATCTTCACCTCGCTTGCAATGAATCTGCACTTGAGGCTATAACAGAGAAGCAGTGAGTAAAAGCCAACCCGTGAATAGAATTCCTGGTGGTCAGGGTTTGGGTGGCCAAGAGGAGAATGGATTTGATCAGTGCATATTTGATACATGGGTTGACGCAGCACAATGGACCCAATGATACGGACAACCTACATGCCAGTCCAAGGTAGGGCAATGGATACGGAAAACCTACATGCCAGTCCAAGGCAGAGCAATGGATATGGAAAACCTACGTGCCAGTCCAAGGCAGAGTAATGGATATGGACAACCTACATGCCAGTCCAAGGCAGAGCAATGGATATGGAAAACCTACATGCCAGTCCAAGGCAGAGTAATGGATATAACGGTAGAGACCTGACTCAGCATGTGTGAAGAGAGAGAGGGAGGGAAAGAGAGAGGGAAGGAAGGATTGATTTTTTAAAAGCAGTGGGAGCTGGTGAGATAGCTCAGCAGCCTAAGGTACTTGGCACTAAGCCTGACGACCTGAGTTCAATCCCTAGAACCTGAATGGTAGGAGATAAACACACACACACACACACACACACACACAGACACACGCACGCACGCACAGTAACCCAAATTGAAGGAGAAAAAAAGCAATGGGAACTCATCTCTGTCATTTTCCTGTCCCCTTGCTTCATTCTCATGGAGCCACCGCCGGTCCTAGCAAAACTGCAAATCCACGAAAAGGCTCAGCCCAAGCTCTACCCAAGTTCTCCCTCATCCAGCAGGTGCCCTCTTCAGCCCAATGCCCCTCCAACCTGTAGAAGTGCCAAACAAATCTTCATTTATTGGGTACACCAGGCATGAGGCCTACAAAAGGGACTGACAACATGCGCCAGGCAGCTGACGCATGGCCCACGTGGAACAGGAACTCTGAAAGGAAAGGATCTCACTCACATGTGGCAGAACGAAGCCAGCCACAACCCTAGTGTGATGACATCTGAGAAAACACGCACAGTTAAATTACTAGGTCATTATTTAGGATCAAAATACTTCCATGAAAACTGCACACAGAAAACCATATAAATTACATTTAAGGTCTGCACATGATTCTTTAAAAAAAATTCAAAAAAAACATTAACAATACTATTTTCTGTACAATGTTGCTTCCTTTTGAACATTCTAAACCCAGGAAACATTTTCCCTTAAATTCCAGAAAATTAGGCAAAATACATACGCAGTATAATTAAACCCTTCGAAAAAAATACAAAATCCTGTTGGTTTCTGTAAAGGCACATTTTTTTTTTCTTGAATACAAGGCACTCCCAACTGTTTTCTGAAGATCCTCTATCCCTGGACACCAGCAGGTGGCAGCACCCTGCTACTGCTGCCCTTTGGCTGTAAAAAAAACACCATCAGCTACGGGCAGGGGAGAGGAAATGGCTCCCTCCACCCTCAGCCAGTAGAGGCTCACTGGGGGTCTCAGTACCCAGGCGCCTCTCTGCTGCCCATAGCAGCCCTATTTTCCCCGGTTTCCTCATTCTCAGCCCCAAGAGTGAACAGCGAGTGAAGACATGGCCCGTTTCTTTGCACACCATCCCTACCTCACTACCCACACCATCAGGATGATAAAGCAGGTGGTGGGCTCTCCCTGTCCCGTTTCTGAGGAGGTCACGCTGCTGGGACCCCTGCCCCGTGTTAGACAGCTGTCTGAAGTGCCCTCCAGCCAAGCAGGGACTGCAGTGGCGACTTAAAGGGCACAGAGTGCAGGAGATAGAATAGGATTTCTCACAGTCTCAGGTGGGCAGGCTCAAAGAAGCCTGCCAGTCCCCGGGCTCTGGTGACGGGACTCTGTTTGCGACTTCTCAGAGCCATTCTCTGGGTCCCCATTTGGTCACATCGGGGACTTTTATCCTGGTGCGCCAGGCCCTGAATACTCTTCAGGCTTCAAGCTGGACATGGGCCTCATTCACCGGGAGAGTGTCATTGTCTCCCAGGAGCTCAGTCTCTGGGACAGAGCCCTCCTCCTCCTCTGCTGCTTCCTGCACAGGACTCTGGGCCACCTCTTCTGGCATGTTCTGTGCATCCTCAGTGCCCTCTGCCAGCAGGGCTGCCCTGTCCGCCACAGATGTGTTGGAGGGTGCCGTGGTTACATAGCCTGTGCTGGTAGAGCCACTGCCACTGTGGTGTGAGCTCGGCTTGGGGACCATCTGGGGGGGCACCTGCTGTGGGGCCATCTGCATGGGGATTTGGACCGGGTAGAAGTTTGGCAGGTAAGCCCCGTAGGCTGGTACCGGCTGGTAGCCATTGACTGGGATATACAGCTGTGCTGGGGGCACCAAGGGTCTGATCTGACCCTTCATGGGAATGAACTGAGGCTGGGGGAAGGGCTGGGCCTTCTGCTTGGGTGCCATGTAGCGGGCATTGCTCACATTGCTTACGGGGCTGGTGCTCAAGGAGCTGGTCTGTGTGGTGTTGCTGGCTCCCGAGGTCTGTGCTGAGCTATTGTAGTTGGAGAGGTTGCCCCAGGCCCGGAGGCGGCTGTGGATGTCCTTAAAGCGAGGCCTCCGGCTGGGGAACTCATTCCAGCACTCAATCATGAGGGCATAGACCCAGGCGGGGCAGTCGTCCGGGCAGGGCAGTACCTGCTCATCTCCACCACATCCTGGTTGGAGTACCCACAGTAGGGCTGCAGGCCGTAGCTGAAGACCTCCCAGAGGACCACGCCATAGGACCAGATGTCAGAGTCGATGGAGAACTTGCCGTACATAATGGCCTCGGGTGACATCCAGCGGATGGGCAGCAGCGAGTTGCCCATGAGTTTGTAGTAATCCGCCGAGTACACCTCGCGGAAGAGGCCCAAGTCTGAGATCCTCACATTCAGCTTGTCATACACCAGCACGTTGCGCGTGGCCAGGTCTTTGTGGACCACGTGGTGGCTGGAGAGGAACTCCATCCCCGCAGCAATCTGTGCCACCACGTGCACGAAGTCAGGGGGCTCCAGGGCCGACTTCACCGTGCGGTCGTCGTCGGTGCTGCCCACATCAGAGTGCGGCGAGCGCATGACCAGGAACTCGTGGAGGTCGCCGTGTGAGCAGTAGCTGAAGATCATGCTCAGGGGTTGGTCCTTGGTCACCACACCCAGGAGGCAGACAATGTTGGGGTGCTGCAGCCGGGCCCGCAGCATGGCCTCTTGCCGGAACTCCTCCCGTAGGGGCCCCTCTGCCTTGTCTTTCAGCGTCTTGATGGCCACGGCTTGGGTGGGTTCTCCTGGGGCTGGCCCGAACAGGTGGCCTTTGTAGACTTTCCCAAACCGGTCCTCACCAAGCTCCTCCATGAACCTCACCGTGGACAAGCTGATCTCTTTGAGTTTGGCCTGCCGAAAAGAAAAGTCAAACATAATTATCAATGCAGTACTAAAGCAGAGTGGCTGGGATCGTCACCATTGCTGACACGGCCTTTCTGGTCCTGTCTGCCACTAGTTATAGCTCCCATGTCATGAGGCCACCTCCATCTGGAACCCTTCAGGGTCTTAACCCAGCTGCAAGTTAGGTCTCTCCAAATGTGAGCATGCCTCCGTGTCCCCGCCAATACCTTATGCACACATGTGCACACATCTATTTGAACTCACAGCTGAGCCTGGAGCCCAGTTTGCCAGCCACCCAGGGACCCTACAAAAGGGTTTGTCACACCTCTCCCAGCAGGCCCACATCACAGCAAGATGCTCTGTTTTCCCCACAGGCCTGTGGTGCCCTGCCCTTAACTTTCTGCCTGTTGGTATTCGTTCAGTTCCGGGCCTAGAGCCCACCTCCATGTCAGTCTCAGGCTTTCCTATGTAGTAGACGATATTCTTTGGGTAGAAGTGACACCCAGTGACCCCAACCCTGCCCCTCTCTCTCCTCCCTCCTTCTGGGTAAACTATCTGCAGACTCCAAGCCTTGTGTAGCTGTATTCCAGCTAAGGGCCTGTGTTTTCCTCAAATGCCAACGCCAAACCATAGCAAGCATCCAGGAATGCTTGATTGAAGGGCTGAAGGAGCCACCTCTGTCCCCAGCACCCCAAAAACCCCTTCAAAGTCACTTGTTCCACAAGCCAGTCATGAGGCAAGTGTGCATAGGTGAGCCTAGGGAGGCTGACACCAGGCATATTTATTTCAGAGTCTCCTCTCACTTCCCTGGCATCTAGAACACTCTTAGTGGGGCCTGCCATTCAGGGTTACTGTTACCCCAGATTAAAGGGCTGGCAATCTTTCCCTGAGAAACAGAACAACAGAAAAATGTCCCCACTTTCAAAAATGCCATGGTAACCCTCAAATGGTGGAGCAGTCTGAATTCTCCTTTCCATTGTCACCCGGATGGCAAAACTGGGGCAGCTCTCTGGGCCAGGGAGGTCCTAGGGCAGGTGGAGGGGTCTGACGACAGTCTCAGGCAGTGACTGTGGACATGCATTTTCCCATATCTTAGAGAAGCAGCTGCTGAAGCTACACTCCCACCCCCATGCCTCCCACCACCAGGGAACATATTCAAGTATGGTTGGTTGTTCCTGGGTTCTGCTCCTTCATTTTTACTCAACTCGATGTGTGGAGGAAATTCAGAGCCCAGTGTCACAGGTACCCCCATCCCTGAGCTCTGACTAAGGCACACCAGAAGGCCTATGCATGCTGGCCAGCTGTCACCCATGCTTGTGCAGGGCACTATCGGAGCTGCCTCCTAGGATTCTCCAGGAGGATTTGTTTGTGTTGGCTGATACTCCATTCCAAGCCTGGCAGGGAAAGAGCTGTCTCACTAGGATACTGGTGGGAGGACCTGTTTGTGCTGGCTGATGAGAGGCATCTCCATGTCCTGGCTGGGCGAAGCCATCAGCTGCCGGCGCTGTGGGGTAGAGGCCGAAGCCTTCTGCTTGTTGCGGCACATACAGACGAGGAAGAAAAGGCAAGCGATGACCAGGGGGATGGCGATACTGGGGACCAGGATGTACAGAATCCCCATCTTGCTGCCATCTCGGGGACCTGGGGACCACAGTGGGGATTCCATCAGTTTTCAGAAGACACCCCCATTTCAACTATAGGCTCCCCAGCCCTCCCACCACCAGGTAAAGTACTCAAGTATAGCTGGCTGTCCCCATGTTCTGCTCTTTCATTTTTACCCAGGGGTCCACAGTTCATTGTCCTTGATAAACTTTCCCCTACTTAACATCTTGATATATTTTTAACAGGTCTGTGTAATGATGACACCTTTCAGGATAACAATTATAGATGCAGTTACCGTAAAAAGTACAGGGAAAAGGGGTAAAATGGTGTCCTGAGAGCTTGTCCTCGTCACAGGATGCAACTGGGAAAAGAATTCTGGACAGACAATTTGGACTAACACTCTTCTCAAGAAAGTCTTTTCTCTATATAGAGGACTTGCAGGAAGGTTCAGGGGCGCACACAGGGAGACAGACAGAAGGACAGTAGTAAGAAGGGTTGGGAGGGGCCTGACAAGCCTGGGCAGGGCATGGCAGAGGGCTGGCTGTCCCTGGATGGCTTCCCACCCCCACGCACCACTCTAACTGCAGCCACTGGATTTCAAGAGTAGCTGGTGGGATTTGAGAAATTGAGGCTGACCCCCATGCCCTTAAAAGGCTTGAGGCGGGCTCTCCAGAGGGCCTTGGGAACCTTGGGGTTTCTCCACCCCCTTGAGCCCTATAAACAATGACATCAGACTTGGGTGCTCTTTAGCCAGGAAGCAGCAAGCTCCCATGTGGAAGCCAACAGGCCCTTTCTAGTGACGGTGGTGTCTGAAAGAGACCACTCAGTGCACGATGCATGCTCAGGTGTCACCTGGGGAAGGAACAAAAATCGCCATGTCCCAAACCCAGTCTCATCACCGGGCCTTCTGAAGCAGCTAACATTCAGTAGGATAAAATCACGGACAACACTCTGCTCTGTACTTACGCAGCAACTTCCCCAGAATGTTTCAGAAGCTGGGGGTGGGGCAGAGAAATCAGACTTCAGTTCTGTTTTTACTTTTAGCGCGGGTGTGATACCTAGGCTGCAAGCCTCCAGGCATACCTGTGAGACCGTCCAGATTAAGGGGCTGTCTTGATTAAGATAACTGATATGGGAGGACCATTGCCTGGGTTGGGAATCCTGGTCTGAATATGATGGAGAGGATGAGCTGAGCCTGGCATGCACTCACTGATGCTCCCTGCTCCTGCTGCTGCTCCTGGCAGCTTCAAGGTTCTGCAACCTCGACTTCCCCGAAGTGATCAGCTGATATTGAAGAAACCCACTCCACCTTAAGTTGCTTTTGCTAAGAGTATTTTATCATAGCAACACAAAACAAAACTAAAAGCAGTGTGTGTGTGGGGGGAGGGGGCTTCCACACCCCCTCGCCACAAGAGCAGAGACATGCATCCCGCCCACACAGTAATGGGTTCATTTGTTTTACCATCATTTAAAAATTACCAACACAATGCACATTTACTAGGGAAAAAGACAGTATTAGAAAAAGACCTCCGCCTTTTTAGAAAAAGGCGGAGGTCTTTTTCATAGAGATGCTTGTCCCCAAAGGCTGGCTGGCTGCCGGTGGACTGGTGCTTAACTTTCTACACGTAGTTTCAGTTGAAGCATACAAAGTAACTTTTACTTAACTATTTTGGCATACCGAAAGTTCACTTTCCTAAGGTGAGTTTGGGAAATGATTATAAATAAAAGCACGCTGTCTAGATGCTGCTGGCTTTGGAGCAGAGTAAGGTATTTTGGTCTCTTCCTATCAGCACAGACAGATCTGGGCTCCATTAGCTGTATCCCATCCCCTGCAAGCCATCCTGGCCACCCTGAAGCCTTCAATGATACCTAGGATACACTCCCAAGGTGCTTTGCTACCTGACTCTCATTAGCAATTCTTCAAGAGGTCTCTTGCATTTCTGTCCCACGAGTGTGGGCCTTTCTGTATAACCCATGGTTTCAGGTCCAATAACCTATATATTTTTCTTTAGTTTTTTTTTCTTAAACTGCAAAATAATAGCTGCTTATCAAAATGCCCTTCACACAGCCATGGATCTGAGAAAGTCATTGTCAAAAGCCTGATGTACATCTTTCTAAAACTCCACCCAGGATAACTGGAGGGCTGAGACCCAGCACACTCACGTCCTACTATTTAGTATTTTTCCCAGCAGGCCTTGTGGACCCATTTCTCAGAAGAAAGGCTTTACAGTGTCAAAGCATTCCCTCAGAACTAGATTTTACTTGGACATGAAATAAATTTTCATTCACAAGACACATTCCTGCATTGAACACATGCTTATTAAGAGGAGTGGTTCAGTGACACCCGCCCCCCCCACCCCGTGCTGATGGATAAAGGTTGTGGGTACCGGCTCCTCAGGGGGGCGGGACATGCAGACATAGCTGACTATTGATGGTTTTAAAATACTTTTGTATGATTCCTTTTTATTTTTATGTGCATTGGTGTTTTGCTTGCTGTTAGTTAGATCCCCTGGAACTGGAGTTATAGACAGTTGTGAGCTGCCATGTGGGTGCTGGGAATTGAACCAGAGTCCTCTGGAAGAGTGGCCTGTGCTCTTAACCTCTGAGCTACCTCTCCAGCCTCAACTACTGATGTTTTAAACCAGGAATTGCACATCCATCTCTCGTTCATGACATAAAAGAACACCTGGGGTGGGGGATGTTGAGACCCGAAATCTACTGTCTCCTTACTCTACCAGATCTATGCATAGGAGCCAAGAAACAGGACAAGGGATATGGAGAATTACTTCTACCTAGCCTAGAAAACCCCATGCAGTCACACTGATGCCACAACCCGGTGCCAAACTGAATGTCCCAGGACCCACACACACAGGGACCTGAGGGAAGGAAGGTTCTAGAATGCATTCAGCAGCCACCATTGGATGGTGAGATTAGGGCTGCCTGGCACAGTGTTCAGACTTTTCATATCCTAATACATCCTATGATGATCTGCTATTACAATTTTATTTAAAACAAATGATTATGATGGTAAGATGGGACACCAGGGTCCCCACTGTCCCCTGGTCATACCCGAAACTCTTATTACAGGCAAACTCAACAGTCAACATTTTTAAAAAATAGAGAGAGAGAATACATACTACACGGGGGTACGTCACACAGTTCCATGCGTACGTTTTTATTCTGCGTAAAGCACCATGGGCCTTCCATCTGGCCCCCAGGGTTCCGGCAGTAGGCGTGGCCTCCTCCCAGCTCTGGGAATTCTGTGCTGGACAGGTGATGGCTGTGGGGGTGCTGCAGAGCCCATGGCTGGCACTGGTGGCCTGACTTGGTGGTACTGGCCATGCCCCTGTAATCAGCTCCGGAGCCATTATAGCACTGGTGGTCTGAGAGAAGCAGAGCGTTAGGGGCCTGAGCACGCTGGGGCACTGACAATCCTGCATGCAGTGCCCTCCTGCCCTTGGGGTTTCCAGGAACGAACAACAAAGCTATCCTGCCTCCTTGCAGGAAATCCAAAAGACCTAAGGGCTTTTATTTTTTTTTTTGCACATGACCTGGAGAATCAGCATAGAGGCACAGAACCAAGACCCAAGCCCGCCAGTGACACAGGTGCAAAGGGATACATATGAGAAGGAAAGCTACCGCAGCTGCTCCAGCCCTGAGACTGCCTATGAGACCCACCAGGCACCCACACCCAACTGCCCGGGGCAGAATTGCTGATGCCAACAGCAGCCTCCTGCTCATTTGTTCTAGAAACAAAATGGGACTGTAGAAACAACTGGGCCAAGTCCCAAGCCTGGTCCTGCACCCTCAGAGGCCACCTTTGCTGCCCACCGAGAGTCTGGCTCAGCCACATGTGAGAACACAGTTCCTCCACCTGACAAAGGAGCTGGAAGCCAGGGTGTGTCTGTGAAGCTTCACTTGTATTTGTTACAGACGCCATCCTAAGGCCCGTCTGATTCTTAACTCAGGCTCCATCCAACTTCACAACGCTAGCGATGTTATTGTCATCATCGGAACAGAGAATTTGTGAGTTTCAGCCTCTTGCTTGGGTCACAGCATAAACCTGAAGTCGAGGTGTGGACTTATACCAACCACCCTGGGCCACAGCCCTGACCACCCTGGTGAGGAATTGCCACTTCTGTAACACCCAGATGAACTACAGATATTAAATATTCCTGGGGTCCACAGGAAAGAAGCCTCAGGCCTGCTCCTCCATCTGTTTTGGCAGCACCCCTGAAGGCTTCAACGCTGTAAGGAAATGGCGTTCCTCACTGATGCTGGCAGAGCCATGCTAGACATACCCTGGCTGGCCTGTCCTTCCTGCCATGGCTTGTGGAGCTGACTAACCCTCCAGAGCCCAGGAGTGGGGACGATGGGGAAACACAGGGCATGTTCTCATGGAGGAGGGACGGGGAGCATGCCTCTGCCCTGTGCAGACCCAAAGAAAGGCCACCCCAGGTCTCAGTGCCAGAAGAAAGGAATAGTCGCCATCTTTGAGGTCAGATGTTCCGAGGAAGGCTGCCCAGCCCCGATTCCCTTCTCTAGGGGTGCATGGGCTTTCTGAGCTTTTGAAAGTTGTCCAATGTGAGGAATCCTTGGGGTTCAGGAGACTGGGGGCTGCAGATCCCTGGAGACCATTAAACAAGCTGGGAGGATGGCCTTGCCACCCCAATGCTCCTGACATCGCTTGGAGTAGGAACCAAGATCACTCACTTTGGAAATCCCAGGTTCAAGAAGAACTCAGACAAGGGAAGGATACAGCTGGAGTGAGAGTCTGGGGCAGGTTAACTCCTAATCTCTAGTTCCCAACTAGAGGGCTGTCCCGGGACTGCCTGCGCTGTGGGCTCTGGCTGCCAAGCTGGGCCTGCTTAGCGGGGCATAGTGGCCTTAAGAAGCATAGAGGCGTGTTATTTTCTGGTCCTGTACCCTCAGCCCTGCACCCTCAGGACACTCACAGCGACCCAGCCTCTCCGCGGGGATCCCGATGCGCATGCAGTTGGCAGCATCGGGGCTCTCGGGCAAGGGCAGGGCTTCGCACTTGGGCAGCTGGAGCCGCATGAGGATGAGCGGGTTGGAGCGGGCAATGGTGTACTCCTGCCGGCACAGGTCATTCTCCAGCACCTCACACTCATCCCGGCACAGCTCTCGCGGCTTGGGCACCCGGGAGCGCGCGTCACACAGAGGGAAGACGAAGTGGCAGAAGGATGGGATGGCAAACTGGGAACACTGGTCTGACAGGTGTGTGGAGGTGCCAATCATGGTGAAGGCGGCTGCGGAAAAGAGACTGTGGTGAGCAGTAGCCTGCCTGGCGTCAGCTCAGCCCCGCCCCTGCCCAAGACACCCCGCCTTCAATCGGTTTCCACCTGGTCTCTGATCTGCCTCACCCCTCAGTCCCGCTCTTACCACAGACACCAAAGCCTGAAGTCCTATCCTCTCCACCCTCTCACCTTGTAGCCCCATCCAAGACAACCCCTTCTCAGTCCCCTTCTCTGGGTTCCCGGACACCTGCTAGACTCCTGCCTGGGCACCTGACAGCCTGCCATCGAGCACCAATCCCCTTTTCTGATCCCCAACCCCTGACCTGGGTGCCCATCGTAAAACACTGTCCTACACCCCATTGTCCTATTCCAGACACACCTTCTGACAAACTCTGACCCACACCCGTGCCCTAACAGAATCAACACCCCAAGCACCCCCACCTCTATGCTTTGCCCAAACCACAACCTCAGTGGCCTGCTCTACAACCTTGAACCCCACCCCCATCTCTCACTCCTATGGCTACCCTGAGCCCTGGACACCCTGTCCTTCACCTCATTCCAGCCCTGGAGCCCTGGTCTCACCCCACCTGACACACGGCTCTAGAATTTATCTCCTGAGGAGCTAGTGTGTGTGTGGGTTCGGCACAGTGTGGGCTACACAGAGCCTGGAGTTGGAAAGTTCCAGAACACAGCACAGGAAGAGGCGGGGCTCTAAGTGAGGTCTTCTGGGTACACCAGGCTCACCCCAGACGCCCGGCAGAGAACCCACAGACAGTATGTGCAGGGCTTGGGAAAGTCAGAGGTGGGATTAGGTATCCAGAAGAAGCAGAGAACTGAAGCAATAGGTTCCTTTGCCTACACATCCTGTAGAGACTGTGTTCTGGGCAAAAATGCAGAGACAATCTCTGGGGTGCTCACCCCTCTAGTCCGCACATGTGTGTACTACCACATGTAGCCAGCAGGGGGTGCTGCTGTCACTTCTTTATTCCCAGAATACCCGCCCAGGCCCCAACTGCAACTGCTAGGTCTGGTTCCAGCCAATTCTCATTTACTATATGGAAAGGGATAGTTGGTCCCTCCATCCTTTGTAGACCTGTTTCTTTATCTGTAAGGTGATTAGCTGGGACCACACAAGGAAACAAACTAAACCATGCAGTAACTAAAAAAAATGGGTGGGATTGGCTGGCCTGGGGCTGGAAATCACAGGTTTCGCCCTTGTATGGGCACCAGAAGTCTTGGCGTTGGTCTAACCGAGGAACAAAGTCCCCTGTACAGGCTCGGCAATGAAGAGACTGCAGGTAGAAATGTCAGCCTTGACACCAGGCAAGTAGAGCCTAAGAAAGGCAAAGCTGGCATTTACTACAGGGAACCAGCTCATGACAGCTGTATTTGCAGGACTAGCCTCCAAGTGTGTAATTTGAGGGCTGTTTGCTGAAAATCAGCTCCAGGCAGAGAGGTACCTCCACAGCCCCTGCCCTTATCTTTGCGTCCGAATGTCACCCCACTGGCCGACCTCCACACAGGATACTGCCATGCTAATGTGGTGTGCTGTAGGCAAGCCTGTAGGACATTTTCTTAGTGATCAGTGGGGGAGGGCCCAACCTATTGTGGGCGGTACCATTCCTGGGCTGGTGGTCCTGGGTTCTATAAGAAAGCAGGGTGAGCAAGCCATGGGGAGCAAGCCGGTAAACAGCTCCCCTCCATGGCCTCTGCATCAGCTCCTGCCTCCAGGTTCCTGGCCTGTGTGAGCTCCCTGCCCTGTGTGAGCTCCAGCCTCACTGCTTTTAATGATGGACAGTGCTGTGGAACTGAGACCCTCTCCTCCACAAGTTGCTTTTGGTGTTTCGTCACAGCAAAGGTAACCACGACTAAGACATGCGGTCTGCACAGTTGTGTCTTCAGAAGTCAGACAATCTAGAGTGATGTCACAGTTTTGTGTTTCAGGCTGGGGGTTGAGCCAGTGGTGGAGAGCTTGCCCAGCACAAGCCAGACCCTTTAGATCATCAGAACAGCAAAAAGATCTGTTGCTCCCACAAAGCAACAAATCTAGAGATTTCTTTTTTTGTTTGTTTGTTTTTTTTGTTTTTCATGACAGGGTTTCTCTGTGTAGCTTTGGAACCTATCCTGGCACTTGCTCTGGAGACCAGGCTGGCCTCGAACTCACAGAGATCCGCCTGCCTCTGCTTTCTGGGTGCTGGGATTAAAGGCATGCGCCACCAATACCCGGCTCGAGACTCCTTATTCTATACTACCCTCTTCTGCTGTCCAGAAAGGATTAAGCTCCACGGTTCCACCTAGCCTCAATCTCTTGATCTTCCTGCCTCGGCCCCCCAATCTTGGCACCAGACCCCGTCACTGACTCTAGTATAAAGTCTGGTTAGTGACTCCACAGAGAGCATTCAGCTAAAGAGAGGAACTGGGCACCTGTGGGCCCTGCCCCTATAGCACTGCTGGTCCCTCAGAGTCTGGAGAGGAAGGCACCCTGCTTGCAGCAGGTGAAGGAAAGCGAGCGAGGGCTGCAGGACTCTGTCTGACTCGTTTTCTTTCTGGGGCTTCTTCTAATGAAGACCCCATCAAGGGACCCAAGGTGGGATGCAGAGGCCTCACGGCCAGCCAGCCAGCAAAGTCCTGAAGAGACTGAGAAGAGCTGCTTCACTTCCTGTGTGACTTACTCCACCACACAGACCCAGAAGCAGGTCTCCGAAACCTTGGCTTTGATCTCTGAGGACTGGGGCTTCCCTCACTGCATCATCTTCTCTGCCTTCCACTGTCTCCTTTCCCAAGCAGCTGGTGCCAGACTGTGTACCCGAGGACCAGGCATGGCTCACACAGATGATGCAAGAGTCCAGGAAACGCAGAGCAACAAATCAAGCTGACTGAGTGTGACCATGACACCCCTGGCCTGGCCAGGTTGTGTATCTGTGCGCATGCCAAACAATCTGAATTTGTTAACTGTGCTTACATGTGGCCTGTCCCCTAGGGTTCTTGTGCAAGCTTTCCAAGAGAGATAGGGGTACCTTTGGGGACAGGGCATAGTACTGGTTGCTAGGTGGCACTCTTAGACTATATTAAAGCAGTTTTCACGGGGCATGCTCTGTTCTCACAGGGTTATTGTGAAAGAACAGGTTTGCCCCCGTCACCCCATGGTGTACCCTTCCAGCTTTCTCTCTTGCCAAGTGACTTCCCCTTGTCCTACAGGCTCCCACTATGATGGCTCCCGCTGTGACGTGGTGAAGCCAGGGAGGCCTCAACAGGCTGGTGCCATGTGGCTTGGGATCTCAGTTCTGAAGCTGTGAGCCAAAGAGACATTTAGTGTTTAGACATTTAGTGAAGTGTTTAGCTCCAAGTATCTCATTATTATAAGGGAAAAGACACTGACACGCTAACTTAAACACACAAGACACAAGCTGGGGATATTTTAGGGCAAAACGCAAGTTAGCAAGTGCAACGGCTTCTGAGGCCTCGTAATTCCTACTGCAAGAGATGGTGGAGGGGCTTGCTGTCTGTGTCACTAACTGATAAAACTCTAGAGTGGCAGCCATCTGTGCACACAGGTGCCTGCCTAGGCGTTTACCATGTCCTGAGGAAACTGTGTGCTCCCCACCTGTGATTCGGTTTTCAATCTCCCCCTGCATCTGGAGAGAGTCCACGTAAATAGTCCGGTTCCCGATGAAGCGTGCACAGGCGATGCCCCGGTAAGGCTGGCAGAAGCCATCTTCCTGATAGTCATCCCTAGACAGAAAGACAAACCTCTGTAAGTGACTGCACGGGACAAATAGGCCACAAAGCGTTTCTAATCCAGACTTTTCCGAGTCATCAATGTTTGCTTTATTCTGATTTATTTTTTGTTTATTTCTGTGACAGGGCCTTTCTGTTTAGTCCAGGCTGATTCCGAACTCACTCTGTGGTCTAGGCTGGCTGTGAACTCTCAGGGAATGTCTTGCCTCAGCCTCCCAAGTACTAGGATTACATTGCCAGCATTTTTTTTTTAACTGGGTCCAAAAATTCTGTCAGCATGAAAAGCAGCACACAGTGGCTTTGTTTCCAATTTTGGAAACATAGATAAACAGAGAGGCACTTCCACACAGCAGGACACAGAGGTATTTCCACAGAACAGGGAAAGGATGTGAAAGACTGTTAGCAGAAAAATGAACCCATCCCCAAAGCTCTGCACTGGGCATGCACCCCCAACTCTGCAATGCTCTGGAAAGCAAAGTCCAGAGGCAGGAACCAGATCCCAGGCTGCTGGGTGCTGTAGGGAAAGAAGACGAATTTGAGTTCCTAAGAGGAGTCAGAGGACTGGAAACATCTATGATGCTGACATCATTCTGGGAACATCAGTCTAAACCCATAGAAAGGGGAACTCAAAAGTGAACTCTAATGCACACTGCCCAATTCACTCATGACTGTCTATTGACAGGGGTTCCATCAATATAAGTAGCCAGAGGAGACCAAGAGAGACCTCTAACTTCTAGTCGGATTTGCTGTAAACCTAAAGGAGCTATTTACATACTGGTTACTTTGTAGAAACCTGAACTCATGTAAATGTGAAGCATGGAAAGACTTCTTATTTCTTTTTGAGACACATTCTCACTGGGTAGCTCTGGCTGGCCTGGAATTCGCTATATACATCAGGCTAGCCTCACGGGGATCAGCCTGTCTCTACCTGGCAGCTGCTGGGATCAAAGGCGTGCACCACCACCTTTGGCCCATGGGAAGGTTTCTTAAGGATGAGGTGATGTGCATGCTAGGTGTTCAGGCCCCTAGCATGAGGACATTATACATCCAACACGTGTCTCTCTTGAGCTGCATCGGAGACTTTGTGGCAAGAATTTTGGAAACAAGGATTTCATGAATGACAATAATCTATGAGGTGTGTTCCAGAACTGAATACTTGGGGTAGACTTTGAGAAGAGCAAAGGTAGCCCATATGGGTGCCCCCTGCCTTATCCATAGCAACAGAGGACATTTCAAAGGTATGTCCCTGAGAGACTGGCAAGATGGTATCTACACACGATACGGTGGGGTGTAGCCTGGTGCCCACTGTGTGGATAACATGGATGATGCTGACACACAGGAGGGGCTGGAGAGGGCTCAGAATGGCAGTCTGTCCTCCTTTCTCCACAGCCTGGTCTTTCTAGAACTTTAAACTGTGATAAAACATTGGACAACAGTAACCTGAGGAAGGGGGAGTCTAATCTGTCTCATGGTATGAGGGACCAGTCCACTACACAGCGAGGAAGTGATGGCTGCAGGGGTGTGAGGCGATGGTCACACTGAGTCTACAGTCAGGGCAAGAGAGATGCTGCTGCTGCTGTTGGCTTGCTGTTTTCTTCAGTCCTGGACCCCAGCCCATGGGATGGATGGTGCTGTCCACATTCAAGGTAAATCTTCCCACCTCAGTTCACTTTGTAGAAATCCCCTCCTGGACACATCCAGAGGTATGTTTCCATGGTGATTCTAAATCCCTTCAATATCGAATCCGGTGACAAGGAAAACTAGGCATCTCCATGGCCCAGAGGGTCCTCGAAGGAGGCAACGCTAGTGGGCTACAGAAGAGCTATCAGGGCTTCTGCATTGGAGGGTGCAGCAGAGAAGCAGGGGCTTCTCAACAAGCCTCTGACGTGAGCCTAGGCCTGTATGTCAGGAGCAAGAACAAAAGTAACATTTTCCCTCCTCACAGAAGCTCCTCAGAGGTGTGCAAAGCCTGTCAGAACCCCCTGATCTACCTGACACTGCCAGGCTCAGACAGTGCCTAGCCACATTGAAAGCCAGAAAAGAAACAGATACTGGGGGAAGAAGCTACAGCCAGGACAGGAGGTGACAGCTGGGCTAGAACTACAAGTAAGGAGATGAAACCAGCAGGAATCAGGGGACCAGGAGAAAATGAGGCAGTGCCCTGCAAATAGGCAGTAAGCCCCACAGCCTCCCTGTCAAGGGCCTCCAGAAGGGACATCCCAAGAAGCAAAAAGTCACAGAGGGTCAAGGAATTATCCAGACTTGAGCCTGCACCAGCATGGTGTAAGTGTGTGCAGGGAGAGGGGATCCAGTAACTGGCCTGACCGTTAAAGGGATTGGAATATGTAATATCCAGACAATGGCTTGTAGCTACTGTCACATAACATCCTTCATTTGGGGCAGGATGCACTTATATATGAAGACACAATTGTTTTTAAAGGCTTGTTTATTTATTATGTATATAGTGTTCTGTCTGCGTGTATGTCCACTGGCCAGAAGAGGGCACCAGATCTCATTACAGATGGTTGTGAGCTACCATATAGTTTCTGGAATTGAACTCAGAACCTCTGGAAGAACAGCCAGCGCTCTTAACCCCTCAGCCATCTCTCCAACCCGTAAGACACAATTTTTATTCACTTCAGGATTAAAAGATTTTATTCACTATAGAAATTACCTCTCTCTCTCTCTCTCTCTCTCTCTCTCTCTCTCTCTCTCTGTGTGTGTGTGTGTGTGTGTGTGTGTGTGTGTGTGTGTGTGTGTGTGTGTGTGTACACTCCTGTGTGTGAATATGGGCATATCTTCCTCTTCCACCTTGTTTGGGACCAGATCTCTGCTGCTCACTACTGTGTACTCCAGGCTAGCTGACCTATCCTCTTCAGAGTTTCTCCTATCCCCTCCTTCCATCTCCTGAGAGCAACGGAGTACAGATACACACACTACCATGTCTGGTTTGTATATGGGTTCTGGAGATTTGAACCTCAGGCTCTCATGCTTGCATAGCAAGCATTTTTATCCATAGCGCCATCTCCCCAGCCCAAGAGTTACACTTCCTATGATAACAAGGTGGCTTTGAGTTAAAAATTAAGACCAGTGTCCCTCCTTCAAGCTCTACTTCAGGGTGAGCTGAACTTCTGAGGACTGATGGCCTAGGCTGCTTTAGCATAGAATGCTAAATTGATTGCTGGCTGAGAATGTCCCTTATAATACATCAGCCTGACTTCTCCCGAAGTCATCTGTAGCCACTGGCTTGTCAGTGGCAATTTAAATTGTTTTTTATCCTGTTATTTTCCTTCAATTAGATAAAGTCTGAACTAGACTTAAGGACATTTTCCTGAAACAGCAGTGGGGGATCTGGAGGAGAAGCTAGCAACACTCAGCTTAGATGCAGTGGTGCACCTGCCTGTCAGCCAGGAACGGGGGGGGGGTGGAGGAGGGACGGGAACACACCTACTCATTATTCCACTGAGGTCCCAGGTCTGCAGACCACCAGGTAAGTTGGACTTGGTAATGGAGAACCTTGGGTCACAAGTGTTAGTATTCAGGCATCTGTACTGGCCTGTCCTTGGGGTTCTGACAGGATTCGCCCTCAGCTGCAGCCGCTAAGAGCACCACCTATGCATATTCTCTATGTTTCCTTTTAAAAGGGCCCTGCCCACCTCCCATCCTTCTCTCTCTTTTCCTTTCTGTCTGTTCCCTCTCTTCTCTCTCTCCCCCTTTCCTCTTTCCTGCTGCTCCCCCTGTCTTCCCTCTCCCCCTTTTATGATCCCTTTCCCTAATTAGAAAATAAAAACAAAAACAAAAAAAAACCCACTTCTGCTTGAACCCTGTCACATGACATCTTTCTCTTGAGTGCCACTTTTCTTAAATTACAACAAGCATGCAGCTGGAGAACAGGGCGGCAGTCTTGGACATGCTTAGTGTCCAAGTAAGTCAGAAAATAGTAGGGCTTAGGACATGGCTCTGAGGAAGGTGACTTTCAAAATACCAAGAACTTTTTAACCACTCAAAAGCACAAGGGGCTTACTTGAAGCAGACACACACACACACACACACACACACACACACACACACACACACCAAGATGGGGTTCTAATGCTGCCCACCCCTAACCGTTTGTAGTATGGGTTATATGGACTGATCACAATGAACATGAGCCACCTTTAACTTAACACAGCAGAAACAAAGCCACGCCCACACGTAAAATGCCAGGCACGAGTGATCCCCTGGACATCATCCCAATTGCTACCTCAGGGTGCTTACAAGAAAGGGAGGCGCCGCCCTTTCTTAAAGCTTTTGTTCTCTGCACACGCCTTCCTCACCACTAACTAAAGGCAGAGAAAGGGTGGTAGTAAATCCCTTAAGCACCCAGGACACCCATCTGCCTCTCACTGCACAGCAGCAGAAACTACGGGCTGCCAGCACCCACATGTGTTGAGGGCAGAAGGCAGGGAGGAAGCATGGGACAGGCAGTCACATTTCTGTGTGAGGACTGACAAGGGCTCCCCCTTGATGTCACATTACCCCAGGGTGAACTCAGACTCCTCTGTCAGTCACCTTCCCAGCTTGCCATCCACACCTACAGGAGAGGAAGGCCATGTCTCTGCCAAGGAAACAGACCCACAAAGGAGCCACTTAGCAGGACAGACTGGTCACTCCTAGAGCACGCAGAGAACCAAGGGGTCATTTACTGTATTAGGTTCACCATTTTGCTTTTGAGTCTTCAATTTGCTGAACTTCAGAGGAATCACGATGAAGGTAGTGTGAGACTGTCAAAGTCAATAGGAAAAACAAAGTCCTGGCGACAGAAAGGCCTGTCACTCAGTCTGCATGTGAAAGCCACAGTCACCTTTGTATCTGAAACTGTTGTCTATAAAGACTCGGGCCTCTGTTGCTAGCTGAAAACACCATATAGTGTAAACACTGTAGGTGTCTACACTAATGTGTTTTGGGATAGGGGCGTGGCATGAAGCTGTCTGTAACACACCGTGAAGTAAGTAAGAAGTCAGATGGAGGGATGGATGGATGGATGGATGGAGGGAGGGAGGGATGGAGGGATGGATGGAGGGATGGATGGATGGATGGAGGGATGGATGGAGGGATGGATGGATGGATGGAAGGATGGATGGAGGGATGGTACTAGGAAGACACACTCAAACCAGCAGAGTGAATTGTGGGTGCTTGGTTGTGGCTGGTAGCGCCTGGATGCTCACTCTAAAACTCCTCCCAACATTTCATGCTATGTTTGAAATATTTCATAATAAAACGTTGGGAGGGAATACTTTAGAACATGACAGAAGTGGTTCTAAGAGGAAAACTCACTCCTACCCATTTACCTGTGAATTCATTATTCGTGCAATCTAAATAGCACCAGAGTAATTCAAGGACTTGGGTATTCTGTAAAAAGACACCATACACACACAAAAAAAGCCCAGGAATTCTCATAAACAAGGAAAACTTTTATATCTACCTAGGAGTTGGCTAAATGGCTCAGTGAGTAGAGGCACTCCAGGCCTGCCTGAGTTCTAATCCCCTAGGACCCACATGACAGAAGAAGAGAATTAACTCCTCCAATTCATCCTGTGACTTCAACATGTTCATTATCGGGTGAGTCCCAAGGCCACGTGGAAATGGGAACCAGTGGACAAGTTTTGCTCTTGTTTGGATAAAAGGGCCTTGTTGTAAAGGACAACTCCCACTCACAAATGCAAACAATGGAAGGAGTCACTCTCCAGGTAGAGAAAACCTAGAGTGCAGTGACACCCCAAGTGGCTGGACTGTGGAGGAGAGGTGATTCTCTGGGAAACAAAAGGCCCAAATCCTAGGCCAGAATCCACCAAGAGTCCCCCAAGGACCCATGAGCCTCAGGTTCCTCCTTAAGGTGGACTGGAGAACCTGTTGCAGAGGTGTCCTTAGGCTCAGTGGGCATATCTGTAAACTGCAGACGCAGGTGCCAGGGACACAGTTCAGGGACACAGCTCGGTGGCAGAGCCTGTGCAAGACCCTGGGTTCAATCTTTAAACCAGAAAAAAATATGAACTGAAGATTGGTAGTGCTGGGTTGCAAAATGAGAATGACTTCCATGTCTGTAAATACTCCCGTGAGAATCTGGCGAGCAGGCTTAGATATCCCATTTCGTTGCCCTGTGCAATTATGGTAGCTGAAAGCAATTAACATCTGTTTTTATGATACTGTAAGTTTCCCAACTCCAATTAAATGCCTGTTCATCTGAGTCCTGAGCCAGCTTCCAGAAAACTCAGTAGTATAGACACAGCCATTTTAGGGTTCAAACCCTGCATTCACACATAAAAGAAAGGCTTGGGATGTCGGTCAAGTGACTGGAGACAGATACTTACTGAAAGTTGTGGTTTGGGCTGTGCGTTGGACCTAAAAACGTGGAAGAAAAAGACGTTATTAATTTGACCAGTGGTAAACATGGGCAGTCTAGCAGCTTCTCCGTGGTCAGCTGTCCTCAGGCTTCAGGCTCTCCTCCCACCCATGAGGACATGCCAGTGACATCAGACACCCCAGAAAGAGAGCTTTCAGGATAGAGCATGTGTGGGTGGTTTTCTTGTCCCTGCTTGCTCCTCACCTAAACTTTATCCACCAAATCTGCTTTACTCATTAGAGCTGGCTCCAGTATGAGCACAGCTGACAGAACCAAGGTGTTCATTGTGGGGACCTTCCCCTACCGGGTCAAAGTGGCGTGATCTACTCCTGCCATTTAATCCTTTTGTCCCGTGTGACACTGTGTTCCTGCCCAGTGGGGGCAGTTTTGCCCATGAAGGATGGGTGTGCACTTGGGACAGAGCCACAGAGAAAGACCAGCAAGTGAGTCCTGACCATTGCAGCGGAGCCACAGATGGGTCTAAGGTTCTGGCCCCTGCTGTCTGCGGCATGCCACCATCATCCTGCGACCTGGCCTCCTGCAGTGTGGCATTGCTGCACTCATCACCACTCACCTTGCATGTCTGGGATGCTTTTCTGTGGCCTGGGTTTACAGGCTGCACTGTTGGCTACTATTTTCCTTTATTAGCTGTAAATGACTCAGGAGCTCTTGTGCTCCACGGGAGAGCCCCTGGGGTGGTTTTTCTGGATTTTTGCTGACCTGTGCATGCTCAGCTAAAAGCAAATACCAGACATGTCCCCTGCTCTGCACCGTGAACACAGTCTGCTAGCATCACGCCTCTGCCGGCCCCACTCACCGAGCCGCACATACAGAACTCCGGTGGCAGTGATGGTCTTCAGCCCATTGGTCGCCACACACTGGTAGTAGCCCGTGTCTGTCGTGTCCAGATCTTGGATCCGCAGCCTTGAGCCATATTCTGTCTTCCGGATGATAACTCTCCTTGGCTCTTGCACAACTGGGGCATCATTCTTCAGCCACCGCACGTTGGGGGGTGGGTTTCCCGCCACCTTGCAGTGCAGGATTGCGGTCTGGCCCTGGACAATGGTGATATTGTTGACTGGCTCCAGAAAATTCAGAAAGTAACCTGCAAGGGGATGGGGTCACAGAGTGCAAACATGGTGAGGGCAGGAGGAAGGGCCTGGGCTCTCCTGCAGGATCAAGGGAAGGTATCCCTTTTCATTTGCATACAGCACATCCTAGAACCTTGCAGGGAGCACTGAGTCAGTGAACTCAAATGATGGCCTCTGGAGACACATGATCTGGTTGGAGAGCCACGGTCACACACTTTGCCAGCCTGTTCGTGGATGGCAGTATTGGACATGATCTGGGCATCTGTGTTTTGCTTGAGGCCGTTTTCCTGACAGGTTTCACTCAATAGCCGGAACTGGCCCCGGAACTCATTATGTAGCTCAGGCTGACCTCTAACTCACAGCAATCCTCCTGCCTCAGCCTCCCAGGTGCTGGCTAGAATACAAGTTTGAGTCACCATGAGTGGCAGGTGGCTCTGTTTTAGAAGACCTCATTGAATGCACATGGCGGAGCCAGTCATGTTCATGTCCTAGGACTCATGCCTGGACGAAGCCTCTCTGATACACACCTTTGCTCTGGAGGGCACACTGCAGCCCTTCCATACTGTCTGAGGCCCAATTGGGTTTTATTTATTTATTTATTTATTTATTTATTTAATTATTTATTATTTATTATTTTGAGACAGGGTCTCACGCATCCCTGGCTGGGCCTGAACTTCAGAGCCTTCTGTCTCAAACTCCAGAGGCCTGGGATTGCAGCCGCATGCTGCCATGGCTGGCAGGGAACCCCTTTAAGCATGAAAATCACCAACACAACCCAGAACACTAACTAGGCCCACGTAAGGTGTGGCTCCTTGTAAGGTGTTCCCTGGCTGCGGTCTCTCTGTAAAAAGAGCTATCATTCCCACACCTTCCTATTGTGCTTTGCTGTATCACAGCACATCTGTTAAGTCACGCCGAGTCATAACATGTTGACATCAAGAGTGACAGCCGCTACTCTGGAGCATTTTCTCTTAGATTAAATTATGAATCACCTTACTAAGTTCCCTGTAACAACAGGGCTCTGATGGAGAAAGGCCTGCAGTGTGGGCATGGGTCAGGGCTGAGCTCCAAATGGCACCCAAGCAGTGCAGTCCAGGTTCCTACTTGAGACCTCGTCTAGTCGGAAGAGAGTTGTAATCTTCTCCACATAGAGCTTCCTGTTTTACTTTTTGGTAGGTCACTTGCCACTCAGTCATTTTCCTTAGTGATGCACACCATTTTATTCCTATTGTGCTTTGGTCACATGGGTAAAGGTTTGTAAGAAAGCTACAAGATAGCAACCTTCCATGGAATGCACTCCTTTTCCATAATCATTCTTAGCAAATGTCTAAAGCATCACAATCTAAAACAATTTTTTTACTGCACGCACAGGAGGGGCACAAAGACAAAAGTCAGGGTGTTGGCGGGGCTGGTTCTGTCCTGAGGGTCGAGGGTGAATCTGTTTGCCTCTGCTCCTCGCCAGGGACCACCCTTACTCCTTGGCTCCAGGCTCCTTCCTTGACTTTGTCTTCACCACACTCCTACTATGGACTCTGGTCCTTCTGCCTCCCTTTTGTAAGGGCTTCTGGGTTACCCTGGGGACCACCCTGTACACCAGGGTGATCTCCACATCTACAGTCCTTAATCACACCTACAAAGGCCTTGTGCTGTTCAAGGAGACACAGTCACAAGATACAGATATTAGGGCACAGTGAACTCTGAGGGTGCCATTACTGTCCACTGAATTCACTTTTCTCGAGACTTTATTGTTCAGTCCTATTGGTCATAGTAGTTTCCCAGCTGGAACTTTACACAGTTCCCAGCTTCACTAACAGTCAGTCTTTGTTGTGAATCCCCACCTCTCTCCTGCCTTTTTGACACGTGCTTTGTCCATTATTCTGGTAGATTAAAAACCAATAAGAGCTGAAATATTGCAGCACACAGAAATCAAGGCCAGGCATATCTCCACAAATAGCATAAAAAAATTGATGGCTACCTTTTGCCATACTTGACCTGAAACATTTAAAATGTCTAGAAAACAACGGAAAGCCTCTGGTCCCTTATTTCCCCTTCCAGGGAATGACCATCCATCATTCCAGTTTGTATTATTTTATAGCTTCAGGAACTTTCTTTTGACAGGCCACCTTCTCTAGCTGCCTGCTTTCACTCAAACTGGTTTATGTTGGTACCGTTCTTTAATTACTGTGTAATAGTCCACTACATAAACAAATCACGGCTTTGTTACTCATTTCCCAGTGGAGGGGCAGAGAGATGTTTCTACATTTGAAGGGTTTACTGACCCTCTGAATGCACATCTGGTCCTGCATGTGTTCAAAAGCAGCCCAAAGGTACCTGCTCGATGTGGAGGCTAAGTTCTGGCAGCTACTGCTCGTCAAGTCTCTGCAGATGGTACCCTATGAGCATCTGAGTTAGGGGGTCCTCCAACACGACTTCGATAACACTTGGTCTTGGGGGACTTTGAAGTGTTTGTCATTCTGCTGAATGTGACAAAGTGCCACACTGCTGTAGGCAGTTAGAGTTTGTAGAAGTCCTGGTAAGCACCAGATCTTCCAGAATGTTTCTGGGACATCGAATGTCTTTTTGGGAATGGTATATTCATCTTTCTCCTGTTCTTTTTGTCCCTTCACCATTAACAACTGAGGTGTCAAACACGAGATCTCCCTTCAAGCTCTTTAGCCACACAACAAATCACTTTAATCCTATATTTGGTCAGACCCATGTGGCTTGTAATTCACTTTCAGTTTTTTTTTCTCTTACCTATGAGTTATTAAAGGTGTGCCTGTTTGCATTTGTCATTTCATTTGAGTGTGTATGTGCATGCCAGTGCATGCGTGTGGACATCAGAAGAAAATGGAGTCAGGTCTTTCCCGCCACGTGGGTTCCAGGGACCAAATTAGTGACTTCTGGCTTGGCCAACTCACCAACCCTAAAAGTTTTGTGGGGTTTTGTTGTTGTTGTTTGTTTGTTTTTAAGAAAAACAAGCTTTAGGGACCAGCTGATGGCTCAGGGGATAAAGGTGCTTGCCACCAGTCCTGATGACCTGAGTTTAATACCAAGGATAGGGATGGACACGGACACACATACCACACACACACACACACACACACACACACACACACACACACACCCTATCACCACCACCACCAAATAATAAATAAATAAATGAATTTATGGAATTCTAAAAACAGGCTGGAGAATTGATCTGAGTATTGCCTGCTCTTCTAGAGGAAAAAAGTTCACCCAGTACCTACACAAAGGTTCACAACTATCTGTAATTCCAGTTCTGGGGCATCCAATGAGTATCAGGCACACGCATGCACTCAGACAGACATGAGGCAAAACACCCACAAACATTAAAAGGGGAGGGGATGACAAAAACATCCCAAAGACAGCCTACATTTTTCTTTTAAAAACAACATCTTTAATATAATGTTGATTCTTTGAGACCAACCAGATTCCCTCTCCAGACCAACCTGGACTTCGTAGACAGTCCACATGTGTTAGGTAGTAAAGTGCTTTCGCCGCCTGTCACAGAAGCCCAGTAAGTTTTGCCTGCTTGCTTGCTGTTGGCAATTTTTCTGTGAGTTTCAGTTGTTTCAGTGAGGTATTTGCTCACTGATTCTCTGTTGTCAAATAGCTGTCGGCAATTCTCTTGACTTCCTTTCAACTACTAGAAACCTTGTGGCTGGGGGCATCAAACTTCAAGTTTACTGCATCATTTAGTCCTTGGGTCACTGCGGAATGCATTGGCCTAGAACACTATGATTCATCAAAGGCATCTCAAGATACTTCTGGTTAAAACAGCTCTACTTTCATCTGCTTAGTTGTTTACCATTTTATGATAATGTACTGTTTATGAACCTTATAAATTGTGTATAATTTTACACGTGAACTTACTAAGTTTTAATGCATGAATTTTAAATTGGTTTAGATGTTTTTGTTTTGCCTCTTAATTCTTGTTTATTTAAAAATGAATCTTTAAAAACTCTCCATTTATCCTCTTAACTAGTTAGACAGTTATAGTTTATTAACTAGTTTAATTAACTTTAATCAGCATCATCTGACAATGCATCTCCAACACAAGAACCTTCAAATGCTGAAATACAAAACCTGTCTCCCTCTCTTCTGGACCTTGCTCTCATGAGAGAAGCTTTGGGGAGAAGCTTCTCAGTTCTTACTCATACTCTGGCTTTAGTTGCTCAGTTGTGATCATTAGTGTTGGTTTCTACTGTCAGAGTTGCTTGACATCTGCCAAATTATTATAAACTTTTCTCATCTTCCTCTTAGGTTTGGCTGAATTCCCTCAGAATCACATTTATGCCTTGGGTGATGGACTAAGGTTGTAAACACTCTTATTCTTAGTGTAAAAATATCTGTCCCTTTCACTTTGAGGAGTAGTTTAGCTGGGTATAGAACTCTAGCTCGGCAGTGATGCCATCTTCTGCCTCATCTGGGAAATGTTAAAAAAATCCTTCCAGTTCCCTTGTTTGCAGGCAATCTGAACTTAATAATTATTAATGTTGTTCCACTGTCTTTGCCATCCTAAGTATGTGCTATTACAGCCACACAATTGCTTTATGTTAGCCTCTTCAGATCGCAGTTCCCCTCAATTCTGAAAACTCATGCATTCACCAGAGCAGTAAATTCGACTCATAAAGTCCTGCCTTATTCTTTCCCCTCCTTTTCTCATTTGGGACAGTCAGTGGATGTACTGATGCTCCTCCTATGTCTCTCTGAGGTTGTTTCTAGATTGTCCAAACTGCTCCGTCACCCGTCTATCCAGTTTACTTCTACAAGTTCTGCTTGGTTCCCTTTAGAATCCACCACTTGCTCGTCTGTGTGGGTTCCATTCTCTCCTTAACAAAGAAGTTCCCTGGCTGCACTGTTTACTGGCCAGCCACTCACCCTGTGACTCAGGACTGTGCTTTGTAATTCTTCAATGTAGGATGGCTTTTCTTTGGAGGTAGCTTAAGGATGGGGATCCTCAATAAGACTGTGTACCATGTTTTATTTT